TGGAGAAAGCATCAGATCCTGCTGCTTCAGGGCTCAGTCCTACAAGACTTCTTTCCACTTCAAATTGCAAGCCCCAGGTTGCGATGTGTGATTCTGACCAACAGGCTATACATCTGGATTCCCACAATCTCCTCCTTGGGTTCAATTTATTTGCTAAAGTAGCTCACATAATTCGGGGCAACACTTACTTCAGTTTACCGATTTATTAGGAAAGGTATTACAAAAGATATGGAAGAACAGCCATATAGAGGAGATGTGTAGGGCAAGGTACATGGGAAAGGCGTGTGGAGCTCCCATGCCCTCCCCAAGCATACCACTTTACAGAGACCCCCACCTGTTCAGTGATCTGGAAGCTCTGAACTCAGTCCTTTTGAGTTTTTATTAAGCAGCATTATGTAGGCATGATTGATTAAATCATTGGCCTTATCATCAGATCAACTGAATCTTCAGTCCCTCTTGCCTCCTGAGAAGTCTGTGGATGGCGCTGAAAGCCCCAGCCCTCTAATCCTGCCTTGTTCTTTCCGGTGACCAGCCCCGTCCTGAAGCTGTTTAAGAGTCCTCAACCACCAGTCATCTCATTTGCATATAAAACCCTCCTCTTAACACTCCCCAGATTCCTAGAGTTTTAGGAGCTGTGTGCTAGAAACCAGGGAAGAGACCAGATCTCTATATATTTGTATTAATATTACATCACAGTGTCACCCTGTCAAATGATATGATGCTACTAGTTGAATTATTCAAAAGACATAGACTGAAGTTGTGACCTTCTCCAAGCTGTCCTTTCTGATTCCATGGGAAAAAAAAATTACTCACCTTTCTTCCTTTATACTTCTGTTTGATCAGATGGTTTGGAAAGTCATTACTGAGGCATGCTATTTACCAGGAGAAAAGACCAATGGCACCCTTTGAATGCAGTTCAAACCAATCTTGTGTTGTGTGCCTTCAGTATTTGTTCATGTGGACTAGATGTGGAAATGACTTTTGTGAAAACAAATTCTGAAATGCAGAATCTCCACTTTTATAACTTTGGGAAGATACCTGGGCAATTCTCCATGTATGATATGAAAGGGAGTTGTATATGTGGCTGAGACACTATGCTGGCATATTATGACAATGTATTATTTCCGGTAAGGTCTGAATCCCGTGTAAGCATGAATCTTCTTCCCACTGGACAGTCACTTCTGTGAGGGTGCTTTGTTTCCTCCCTGTCTAGTTTACTCACCAACCATTTATTAAAAACCTACAATGAATGAACTGGTGACTTACCTCAGGGCTGAGAATTCTAACAACATTCAAACCAAGCCCTGCCGTCCGGGATTCATAGTCCAGAGGGCAAATACTTGTAAGCAAATAATTACAGAGAGCACAGTGTTACATGCAAGAGGAGAGACATCAGCTCGGATCTCCAGAGCTGGGGATACTGGAGAAAGTTTTTCAGGAGAGGTAGTATTTAGCTGTTAAAGATGAATGGTATTACATATAACGACAGAGAAATGGAACGAACATGGGAAAAATGAAACTATGGGAATAACACATAAAAATGCCCAAATAGGAAGCAAAGTTGGTCCTATTGAGAAAACTCTTGAACAATTGTGGTAGTGAAGATGGCTATGAGATGGAGCATAATTGAGAAGCAAGCAACATCACAGAGCTTCTTCCATGTCATCGTTAGGTTTTGAAGGGTGCTCTTTCACACTGGAGACGCTGAGGGATTTTAAGCAAGAGTATGGCATGAGCAGATATGTTTTATAAAGACCATTCAGGAAAGCCAGTCACAGGCACAGCATGGATCAATAATGCTAACAACCAGTCAAGAATCAGCCCAGAAAGAATCTGATCAAGTCTCCATATGCAGCCTTATTTTTCTTTCTAGTCTGGAAGTATTTGATCACCTAGCCAAATAGGGGAGACTATGGAGAGAATACTGTATGGAAGATGGGAGTTTTTCATACTATTTGTATTGATGTATTACTCTGTAATGTATTTTGTGTATTAATCACATTCCTGGTTTGTTACTTTCTTATTGGATACTGTTTGCCTTGATTTAATTCTATTTTGGTTTATTTATCTACTTCTAGTTGACTATAGTCTGTGTACTTTTTGTAAAGTAAAAAAAAAAATGATAATATATTTTTTTCATCATCGTAAAACAAAGCAAAATCCTAAGCATTAATTACTTTGGTCCTTTGCTTCGAAACTAATTTATATAAGTCAAGATCTTTATTTCCTCTCTAGAATATAATAGAAGTTAAGAATGGAAAGCAAAATTGTTCTAACCTTTTTGTTTTTTTTAATCATAACACATATTCTATTGAAACAGTATATACATATAATTATTACTTTACATTTTATACCCTCTTCAGAAATATTAATGAAGATTCATTCAAACAATTTTAGAAACAAATCACTAATCAAAATAACTACTTTTTCATGATTACTATAATTTCTATCATTTTTCATATTTCTATTTTCTTTCAAAACACAATATAGTCATTGAAAATAAAGTCTCATCTGCCCCTGAAAGATAAAACCAATACACACTTTTCTGCCAATTCTATTTCCCTCGTTTTATATTAATTATGCATATATTTTGCATACTAAAATGGACATGGCTCTGATGAACCTGACTTTGCCCCTTCTTTTGCGTATTCCTTGATTTATTAGCATATTTTTGTTTGTATGTGTCTGGCAGGTAAAAGAATGGAAAGAGTTGTAAAAATGTATGTAGTTCTCTGCCAGTGGCTAGAAAGCACAGAACACTGAATGAAGTCAAAGAATTCTGTATCTTAAGCCCTGGAAACAGCTTTGACCAACAAGAGCAGTGTTCTATAGAGGCAGGTGGACGTCCTTCTGGAGTTGCCAAATAACACAAAACTTCCCCACTTCCCCATACATCCCATTATATTTGTTGAAAATAAAAATTACATTGCAAGAAATATAGTGTCCATGAGCAATGCCAGTGAATTTTTTAATGAACAATATGAAATCTTAATGAGATGATTGATTCAAACCTTAACTATGAGTAGCCATGGCAATTGATTTCAAAGCAAAACAGACATAGAAAAGTCACAGAATTTCCCTCCAGGTTTTGTTTTTCATATTGGCAGACATTCAAATTCTGTAAAATATTTTGAACTCCATGTTTAAATGTTTACGGGTTTCATATTATACATAAAAAGACAAAATGCAATTTGGGTACAAAATTTGTATCACACTGGTACAACAGTGTGATACAAACCTTATAAACAGTTTGTTATAATTCATTAAAAAGTTTATTTAGAATTTAAAAATTCTAAATAAAAAATCTTACTAATCCATTGAAATTAAATCATGGGAATTAATTATTCTAAATAAAAAATTATTTAATAATTATATTAAATTATTCTATTAAATAATTGTTAAATCACTGAAATAAATTATTTAAATCATGGGAATGATTTAATCATTCTAAATAAAACATTTTTAAATTATGTAAGTACTCTAAATAAAAAATCTTGTTGAATCTAGTGAAATTAAATCATGAGCATCTCATTTCTCCATTTGAATATATGGTAGAATGTTCTCCATTACAGCCTAAAATCTTTAATTTCACTTTGCAGTGGTCTTTTTAAAAATTTTTATTTTGAGAAAATTAACATCATAAATTATAAATATGAACAGTCATTTGTAGTAGTAAAAGCAAGGGCTTTAGAGTCATAAACACATGGGTTTAACTCTTAATTTAATCTTTCTTACTGAGCCATCATTGGTAACTGACTTAACTCCCTGAATCTCATTTTCATCATCTGTGAAAAGAGATATGATATAATGTCTATATAACATTTAACTGTAGCAACACTCAGTAAATATCTGCTGTTATCATCATCATCATCATCATCATCATCATCATCATCATCATCATCGATTTGGTGAAAGGACCCTCCTCTAAGAACATCTTATTTATAAGTTTAGGCACCTAATATCGAATCAGAGTAAGAAGAGGCAGCAATATTGAATAGTATAGGAATAATATCAAGACATGCTCTGTAAATCACTGGAGTTATAAATCTTGCCTATATACTTAGCTAAGCAAGGGCCAAGGCAGTTTAGTCAGTTTAAAAATCTTACCTCTTTTCTTATTAAAAAAAAATTCACTATCATAACAGTCAGTTCAATCATGCCTGTAGATAAAACATCATTTTCAGGGTAATATATTTTAATTGTTATTGGAACTATGTCTTGACAATATAACTATGCCCGAATTGAGCTATTTTATTTCTTCCCTTTAAATATTTTTTCCTATATAGATATATGTGTAGCAAGGTATATGTGGGGTATATATTCCAAAACAAGCAAACAAAACTAGGCTAGTATTCAGACACTTAACGAAAAGGAAATCTTTTTCTCTTTCCCATGGAATGTTCCCTCTGTTAAAGATAAATACATTAGTAAATAATAAATTTGAAAGTTTAGTAGAAAAGCAACATTCAACGAAAAATTTGATGAACAACAAACAACTAGTGAATTTGAATTTGCAAATAATTTGATGAACACAACCAGTTTTCACATTTAGAGACTGAAACTACATACAATTACAGAACCTACCAATTAGTCTCTTCTTCAGGTGTCAGTTTTAGCTCTATGCAACTTAAAGGAAAAACAGAGAAAGCTTAATGAAGTAGGGGGGTGTGTTTGTGTGTGTGTGTGTGTGTGTGTGTGTGTAGTTTTTTAGATTAAATTATGCCAATTAAGGAAGCAAACAAAATAAGAAAAATCCAACTTTTCTTTATCATAGCCAAGTCGCAAAGTAATATACCTTAAATTTGGGGAAGGGGTTATAAAGGTGTCATAACTGGCAGGAACCATCTTTGTTAAGATATTTAGTAATGAAAAACCTGGCTTCCCACACAGCTCAGCCTTACCTCCCTCACTGCACACCCCATCATAACAAAGGGGTAATTAAAATTAGTGCAGAATCACCAGAGACCTTGCTAATAAGTTCTGTACCCCATCCACTGCAGGTGATTAAAACGACTTTACCAGGGAAAAGGCAAGCTTTTGTCCAATAAAGCAGAACAGAGCTGAAGGAGGAAGGCAAAGGCCGTGGAGCCAGATGGCTGAGTTTGCAGTTTCGCTCTGTTATTGACTAGGTGGGTGAGCACCGTCTTTTCACTTAATTGTTATGCTTCTGTTTTCTTAACTGTGAAATGGGGTAAGAAGAGAAACTTTAACATGAAGCTGTTGTAGGGTTAAAAGAGGTCATCACAATAGGTGCTTAGGGCACTCCCTGGCACATAGTAGGTGCTCAGTAAATGAACTGTTGGTATGTGTACAAGGAGATCTCCTCTTGTGCCATCCCACTGATGGCTCTCAAGCTCCAGAAGCCTCTCAAGGCTCTCAAGGCTCTCTTGGACAATCCTCAAGCCAAGAAGGTCAAGAATTTCAGAAGGTATTCTACATGTGACTCCCCAGTTGTGCATTGACTCATCCATGACTGGACATAGAGAAAAGTGTGCTAGCTAGCTAGCTATGTTAAAAAAATACAGGAATTAGGTTAGGCTGGGCACAGTGGCTCACGCCTTGAATCCCAGCACTTTGTGAGTGGAGGCAGGAGGATCGTTTGAGCCTGGGAGTTCAAGACCAGCCTGGACAACTTGGCAAAACCCATCTCTACAAAAAATAAAAATTAAGAAAATAGCTGGGCATGGTGGCATGTGTCTGGAGTCCCAGCCACTTGGGAGGCTGAGGTGGAAGGGTCACTTGCACCCAGGGGGGTCGCGGCTGCGGGGAGTTGAGATCACATCGTACCACTGCACTCCAGCCTAGGCAGCGGAGTGAGACTCTTTCTCAAACAACGACAACAACAACAACACACTAGAATTATATCAGTCTACTACTTCAAACAGCTATAGGATGAGTAAGTGCAGGTGTGTATTCTCAAACATTAGCATAGGGTTAGGGTTCTCTTTCGCCTTCTGAAACTTGAGTCGAGATGTTTGCTACAACCTTTGTTGTACCTGCTTGTTTCGCCGTGCCTCTTCTCTCTTCTGCTGCATGACTTTGTTAGATTTGATCTTCATGTTCACTAGTATATTACACAGGAAACGTCTTTTTACTTTAGCGGTTGTGCCTTTTATTTCGTTTTCAAAAAGGCATTGTGTTACCCAGTCTTCTGAGGCTGGGGGTTGAGAACTAACATCATCAAGTATTTTTAAAAGAATCCATTCTTGTTTTCAGCCACATTATTTATAAAAGAAGGAAATTATGAAGTAGAGTTTTTCTAGGACACAATGAGTTGTCATTAAAATGGCACACACTTCGAGATGTGAATACAAAACCGCTGAACAAAAACCCTAAGATTTAGGCATAAAAGATGTTTTTCATCTGTTTTTGTACCTTTAGTGTTGCTGATGGAACATTTTTCATGTAACTGTAACCCTTTTTTCAAAACTCAGTCCACCATTAGAGAAAACAAGGACCAACTGCTTCAATAATCTTGGCAGATGCCAACAATCCCACTTCTAGATTATTTGCAAAGGCTTTCTAGCTTGAAGGAAGATAAGGTATCACTAGTTGCCCACCTTCTATAGGAAATTTAGTTTATGGAAACCCTATATGGTAATCCCATGTGGTAGTTTGAAAAATGTAAAACATTTAGAGAGCGAGAGCAAGAGGCAGAGAGACAGAGAGAGAGAGACTCCATCTCGAATTAACATAGAGTTTACCGGGCATAAGTTTGTAAGGAAATTACAAATGATTTATTGACTTTCATAATGAAGTTTCTAGGTTTCTTTCTTTGTTTCGCTTTTTAAGTTTACATTATCTTGTCCTCCAACTAGTTTACTTCCCTCAGGAATTCAAAAAATTAATTTTGCCCATCTGACATTGTATTTTGTTGTACTCTCAAAGCTACGTTAAATAAATTGAAACCTCAAAACCAGTGACAAAAGTTCGGAAGACCAACACTAGAGACAGTAATAACATGAGTGGCATTTAGACCTAAGCCTAAAGAGACAGTTTTAATTTTGCAAAGTGTTCCCAATTATATTTATGGAAGTTGCACAGATTTCCTCTATGTAATGGAAAGGCAGGGCTTAAAAATAAAATGATCACTTATTTGTGGGAGCTAAAAAAGAAAAATTTAAAAACCTCATGGAGATAGAGACTAGAATTATGATAACCAGAGGCCGAGAAGGGTAGTCAGGGGAAAGGGAGGTGGGGATGCTTAGTGGGTACAAAATTATAGTTAGATAGAATGAATTAGATCTAGTATTTGATAGCACAGTGAGGTAATGACAGTTAATGATTTATTTGTACATTTAAAAATAGCTAAAAGAGTATAAGTGGAATGTTTGTAATCCAAAGAAAGGATAAATGCCTGATATGTTGGATATCCCTATTTACCCTGATGTGCTTATTGGGCATTGTACACCTGTGTAAAAATGTCTCACGTATGCCATAAATATATACACCTACTAGGTACCCACAAAACTAAAAACAAAACAAAATAAAAATAAAATGATCCATACATGGAGTTTTATACTTGGATAGTCTGACCATCAGGAATAACGCAGAGTTTACCTTTTAGGTCAACTTTCTTTAAATTATTCTTTAATTATAAGTTCACCAATGTTAACACTTCAAATGTTCGATTTCAGCTGCTAAATTCTCGTGACTAGATGAATTTAATATGTTTAAGTCATTGAAAGTCACATCAATTAAGGCTATAAGTAAAGAAAATATAAATATTTAAGGTGATGGATAATCCAATTACACTTACTTGATTTATATGAATGTATCAAGTTATCACGTGAACCCTGAAAATATGCACCAACCATGATGTATCAATAAAAATAAATAAATAAAGGCTGGAAGCTCTACTGTCACCTCTGGAGCCACTGCAGTGGGAGTTTATCTGGTCTTTGACATGCCAACATAGCTGCATTACTAACTCAGCAGTCAACTTGTGCATTGAATTAGTGATAGAGGCTGAAGGTCAGAACTGCACCTCACTGTTTGCTGGCTGCCCACATGTGATGATAATGACTCATCTCCCCTCTGCAAAGGCCTTTCTTAACCTTCTCCTCTGTAGAGCAGTTTCCAAAACGATTCCCTTCCCAATAGTTTCAGAAGTTCCAGTAGTTCTCAAAGTTATGCTGAAGGTTCACGTTCTTAATGTGTATTGATTTCCATTTGCTAAAAAGTAGTACAGAAAATAATCATTTCAATGTGCTTGCTTCCAAAATAAAGTAGTTAAAGAGCCTATGGGTGATTATTTAGAAAATAAAGTACCATGTTGGTCACCATAGGTCTCATAACTCTGCTTTTGATTCTGTCACTTCGTTTATCGATTTTACTTGGTGTTGTGGTTTAGAAATAGTTATAAATAGGTTATAAATCAGTTATAAATAGGTTGTGTTCTAAGACATATATTGTTTAATTTATGTGCATAATTCACTACTGAATAACAGTGGAAAGAAAAATAAGTTGATATGGAATATAAACATATTAATTCTACAAAATTCTACAAATTTACCTCAAAATGAGTCTCCCTAAATTTGTAAGTTATGCTTATCAGATAACACTTACTATGCTATATGTAAATCAAATTTTAAAAAATAAAATAACATGATGTTAAATTTAATCTCTTTCTAAAATCAACATGTCACTTTTTGGAGTTGCATTAAAAAAAAATCATGCTTCCCTTCCCCAACCCCCAAGACTGATACAAAACTAATTAGGCAATGTGCCTTATTTATTACATGAGAAAAAATTGAAGTTTGTATTATATGCAAAGATTAGAAATGGGATATTATTTAAAATACAATGTATAATATAATTGTATGGTAGACTAATCTGATATAATTTCATATTTCTTGTCAGTTCTTTTTCTTCCACTTGACAAAATTGGTAGGGTAATTATTTTTAAATTCTAATGGGGCTGCAGAAAAGTAGGTATTACTATAAAAGGGGCTCACAAATCTTAAAAAATGAGAACAAACTAAAGATACACAAAGAATCGTCTGTGAAATCACCATTCAAATTGGAACTCAGTCACTTTAATAGCCATGGCCATTAGATCTGTTAATACTTTACTCAGTTCCCTGAGCTGTCAAGTGAGAATAAGCACTCACTACCATAGAGCATCTCATTCACTGACATATGCATGAGCACATAATAGAGGCCTTTGATGAAAGTCCGCTGTGGATTTAGTCCTGCCACTTGGAAGCAATGCAGGAAGCCACTTAACCACAAGCGGGACCACACGGATCACTGCATGGATGCTGAGCAGGTCTCATTCTGGGTATCCTCAGACATGACTAACTCAGTTCAGCAGGAACTGGAACACTGTCTGTTCCCTCAAAGCCTTCTACGAAGAAGCGCCTTCCCTTTCTTGGCCAAACCGTCTCCTCCTTTTCCATAGATGTTGGATTTGGTACTGAAATTAATTTGGGACTTGTAATGTTTCTATCAAACGTGTCCTTTTTCCTTTGGCAAATGTTTTGTTTCACTCCAGTCTTCAATGGCAGGTCTTTGCATTCCCTAGAAGTTTTTTTAAGCTTCATTTTTTTTTCCTATTTAAATTGGAGTCTTAACCCCTCCATGTTGGGTATTCTCAGCTCTGGTTTATCTCTGATGGAGAAATCATAAAGTGGTGAACACCTCCATTTATTAATTTATGCATCAGGTATTTTCTCAACATACTGTGTGCATCACACCTGTGTTAAGGATTTCAGGGGATGATATAGGATAAACACACATTTAGAAGTTAAGATATAATACGTAGCTAAAATATAGGAAATGTCACTAATTGGTCAAAAAAATAACTCATGAATTTACAGTAGGAACTATAACTGGTAACTGTAAAGGTCAAGAAAGACATTTTGATACTAGAGGGAATAAAACTGGATTTTTAAAAAATGATTATATCGTAAGAAGCCTTGAGATGTGATAAGGGCATTCAGACAAGGGAAGTAGCATTTGTGGAGACTTGGGAAATAAAATGATCATATTCCTTCCCCAAATTGACATTGTATATGGAGGAGGAAATGAATTTGGAAGCATAGCTGGTCAAGGACTATGAGCAGCCTACTAAAGAGAAGGGACTTTATAGTTAATGTGAAGTCATTGCAAAGGTTTTAAATGAATAAAGGTGAAAGTATTTGTTATCACTGCCATTGGTGTAATGTGTAGCCTAAGCTGTCTACATGCAACTGTGAACTCCTTCAAGACTAGAACACCATTGCATGCATCTTTGTATTCCCTTCAATGTTGAATAAACATTTGCATAATGAATAAAAGATGGAACAATAGTAGTGCTTATTTGGACACATCTGCAGAGGAGGGAGAGACTGGAAGATGGCATGTAAATCAAGAAGGCATCGTAACTCACTACGAGGGACTATATATCAGAGGAGAATCCAGTAGCCCTGAAAAGAAATGCTCACTTCTTAAGAAATTTTGTAGACACTGATCAATATAGCAATTTGTGGGAGTCAAGAAGGTCTCCTTGATAATTTAGGATGCCAAACTAAAAGAACTCAAGTA